GGTATCTCTGGCTCTCTCGAGTCTCCCAAGGTCAAAGTTATGCTGTGTTTGTGTGGAAATTGAGCTGGTAGGGAGTATGAGGCCTGGATATGATTGGTGTCCATAGCACAGGAACGGGGGCAGATTTTGAAAAATGGAAAACGGTGAGTGTCTTGTATTTCGTTGTAAAGTGGTTCTGCGTAGTCGAAAGTAACGTAGGGCAACATAAGGGAGCAAGTTGTCCTGGATATCGTCGAGAACTTTGTTGAAGTCAAAACAAACACGTGACTTTGGCGCGACCTCACAAAAGTGCCGGATTCTGTTCCAGTCGCTTCGCCAACGGGTTTGATCGACTGTCATCAAACCATTGCAGAGCGACTGGTTCGAGTCTAAGTAAGTAGGTTGTTTTCGTTACAGAGGGCAGTTAATCATGCCAGTCAGGGCCCACAAGCCGGAGCGGCGGGGTGGAAAGTCTAGCGTTATTTGTTTTAGTGACGTGTTGTTCTCTTGATGTCTATCCCTCTCGAGATCTTTCTTGTTCACGAACTTTTTACTACTATTTTTTTTGATTCATGAAGAACGTCAATTGTAATCCATCTATCCAATGTCTTGCATATACAATGCAATACTATCTGTCTAACTCGACTATCTAGTACATACATATGTAGTACACTGCCCTTGACGGTCTACTCATCTAATTACATGTTCTGTTACTCACATCTTGGTTAGGGGTTAGGGGTCAGGGAGTTATATACATAAGTAACACGTCAGAAGAAAACACCGCCTCGTAGGCGTATGTAAACACGTTTGAGCGACCAATTTGACAGTCCTCTTGACGTGTTACAGTCGATACATATCCACTGTTGTTTACATACATACATTGACGGTGTTGCAATCGGTGGACAGACCCAGGATCCGGATTCCCTACCTAACTATGGGCTTATTACGCCATTCAACCAACATTCAACATCAACATTCTAGTATAGTACTCCTGTTTGACCTTAAGTACTCAAGGCGCTTACCACCCGGGGGCCCTCAGTATTACTCTATCCTATTACTGTAGTGGGGAGGAGGAGGAGGAACCGGCAACAGGGACTAGTGCTTAGCCTATGAAGTGAAGTGGGCCACCGCAAGCGATAGCTCATCAGCTGTTACCGGGCTGAGGAAGAGCTAGTGACAAACTCGGGTGGTAATACTTAAAGGTCTTGACAAACAAGACCACATCAGTGACCGACCGAGGCGAAAAGCTGCGCGTAAAGACGATTCCTCCGAGCAGCTTTCAGTCGGCCTTTACATTCATTCATTTTTGAAACACACACATACGCACGCACACGTACACACTAGGTACGGCTTGACACCTCTCAATCACCGAGGTCCTCAGACGCCTCCTAATGATTCCCCCACCCCTTTGATTTTTTCCTGGGTCACCGTTAACGTTATAATTAGTTCGACGTTCAAACATTTCAAACGTCCAACGTCACCATTTGCTTCATCTCGATTTCCTGCAATCAATTTGCAAGGCCCACGGACAACGACGGCTCCGAAGGGGAGCTTGTCCCCAACTTGTCCCCTTGCAATTTACACATATATGTCGGTACTTGAAGATCAATACTAGTACTATTTACGTTCTGTATGAGATGATGGAGCAGCGAGCTCGTGTCCTATAGAACGTCGATTAGACTGCCAGAGCCCTTCCTCGAGACCTTTTTTTTTGCTTTAGCCTAGGCCTTATATAAAAAAGCTTTTTAACTTTGCCTTAGGACTGGGCTATAGGTCTCCCCGAGCTACGCCGCAAGTGAATACACGGCTAGACTCGAGCCAGTCGTTCGCGGGAAGAGTTGATGACAGTCGATCACCCTGTCGGCGAAGCGACTGGAACAGAATCCCAGGGTTTTCGCTGACGGACCAAAATGTCACGTGGCATTTTTGACTTGTCCTAAATTTTGCTCGCTCTCGAAAAATGGACCCTCCCACAACTCCTCAGAACCCGTCCAAAAAGACTTCAGACTATGTAGAATAATGATGAAATTATGCTGATTAAAAATTTTATTGTAATTTGTAGTACAACGGAATGTACAGATAGTAAAAGAATTTCATAAAGGGGCCTACTCCTTCATCATGCCTGCACCTCGCAAACGGCGCAACTCAGACCTTGCATATGAAGCCTCGGGCTCTGTCTCCAAGAAATTGAAGACTGTGAGAGCACAAGAGCGAAGGAGAAGCACTCGGGGTACACAGAAGACAGTTCCAGAACCAGAACCCTATGATGATGACCCCGAGCCGGATCTCTTTACACACCCTCCAACCAGCAGCGCACCTGGCTCTCCTGTCTTTGAAGACGATGAGCCTCTTCCACCTCCACCATTTCCAGTCCCATTTAATGTGCCGACGACTCCCATAGCGAGTGGGTCTCATCAAAATACCCCAAGTACCCCTATTCAAAACCCACCTTCGTCTCCCATGTCTGTTCTTGATCCAAGCCCAGCAAAGCAAGTCACCAGACCGCGAATCAAAAGGCCTCATAGGAATCCACGAGGTGTCATGGAAATGAAGAGGTCGGTGGAGTATCAAGAAGCGGAGAAGGCTAAACTCAGAGAAGAGATAGAACGATTGAATACAAAGATGAAAGAGGAAAAGGCGAGACGGGAACAGATAGAAAAGGTGACTCATCAGGAAAAGTCAAAGGAGGATACTTTGAGGGCGCAGAGTCTTGCCGCCGCCTGTAGGGATATCATATAGAGTGTTAGTACCTGATATGATGTTCTCTCCAGCTTTGATTTGATGTTCTCGCAATGCTGCTATCCCAAATACTTGACACAACTTTTCCTTAGCCATTTCGAGACGTTCAGACTCGAAGAAACGAGAGATTACGGGCATGGTTGAAGGAGAGACCGGATGTGATCGAGGGGCTTGCGGATGAAAAAGACATTGCAGTTGCACACTGCCAACAAGGAATTTGAACAAAAAAATTGTATTCACGGGTATGCCGACCCATCAACGAGTAATTCTAGCTACATGACGAGGGCATAGGATGAAGTTGAGGAGGGTGTGCTGGCGGTAGGGAATGAAGAAAATGGCTAAGTCAAAAATCCCACGTGACTTTTAGTTCCGTCTGCCAAACCCTGGGATTCTGTACCAGTCGCTTCGCTAACGACTTTGATCGACTGTCATCAAAGTCTTGCAGAGCGGCTGGTTCGAGTCTAATACACGGCATTATAAAGTCGTCAGGTTCTTTGCTTTGCTTTGCTTTGTTCTCTTTCCTCCTCGAGTATAGTAACTGGGCCCCTCTAGTCCAGCCTCGAGGCTTCATATATCAATCCTATCTCTCTCTCCCTCTAAGTTCTTTTTCCCCGGATTCCTTTGATTATCCGGATCCTTAGAACTCTTATCGAAACGTTTTGAACTCTGGTCTAAGAATCTGGGACACTTATAAGGTCTGGGCGATGATCGATGAATCGATGACCGGTGACCCAACCAATGGCACTCAAGGCAAACCCCCTTCGCAAGTTCGCAAAAACAAAAAACGTCACCTCCTCTCAAAACATCTGAGTCCCCGAGTCAACTCTAGTATAAAAAAATCTTTTGTTCTCGGGACTTCTTTCCTCGCCAAGTCGAGCCAAATCGAGGCCTTTTCCTCTTCCAAGAGTTACCAAGTAGCTTGAATTGCTTGGACATCTCTCAGTAGATGTCCTTACATAAGCTTTTCGCTAGTTCCTCTTCTCGCTCCGAGTGCTGGGTCCCAATCTCTCTCTCTCTGAATTTCTCTGCCCCCTCTTGTTATCTACCCTTCTCTGTGCCTCATTTCCCCCTCTGTCACTCTAGAGCTTCTCTAGGCTTCTCTGTTTACGAACTACACCATAAGTGGCAGCGCCAAATATTGATAACGACTGTGCCATGCCCAATGCATTTTAAAAACTTTATGAGGTTGAGAAAGATTGAGGAGATTGCAAGCCTCACACTGGGTCGATAATCAAATGATCTGCGAGAAAAGAAAAGGACAGAACACTTTCTTTCCACACCACGATGTGATGACTCTGGGGGTCCACTAATCCAACTAGTTAGTATAACCCGTCTCTATGTAACGGCGCCACTGGAACAAACCACCAGACATGTTATATGTATATGTACGCAAAATAGTTGATAAAAAACTCGAATAGCAAAGCTGATCCCCAAAGTTTTTTACTTGGGGGAAACTGATGATGAAAGCACTGATTATTGGACCCGAGATCATCAACATCCGTGCCCGTGCTAAACTACTGTCGTCAATCCGTGTTTTGGAGTTATAGGCAGTCAGATTTCAAGGCGTATGTTTAGAACAATTATGAGGAGAAACCAAGGGAATCCGAATGTTTGAAGGATTCAATTATTGCTTGACACCTAAACTCTGGATCTTTGATATTTTCATCGCAAGTATGCAGAACTGTTGTTGTTGTAGACTTATTGGCTTGGTTCGCGACTGTTGGAATCCGATCTTTCCACTCATTAATTAGTTGTACCAAAAAAATTTTCAGTGTTGTCACAATAAGATCGTCAAGTCAACAGGTGGCTTATGGTGCGATGTCTTGTCAGTCTTTTAACATTTTTAAACTCAAAGCATCTTAAACAAAAAACCCTCGTTGGTATGGATATCTGTAGTATAAAGCAATGACGAAGCTTACTCCAAGCTTAGCTTATGCACGTCAGTGTACGTACTACGCGCGCCCTTGTCGACGAAATCATATGTGGCAAAAAGTTGGAAACATTTCTCCATGACACCTTTAGATAGGGGCTCGGATATTCGGATGTTCGGAATTCGATGTGTGTGTGTGTATCCGTTGTTCAACGACCAACGACAGGTAAGAAGTACTAAAATACGTTATTACTGGTACATGAGCGGAGCTGCGTAATCTACCTACCTAACTAACTACCAGCATACCGCTAATTTCATGTCCAGTTGTGCTTCAATGTTTCGAGTGTATACGAATTTGTGTGTAAACCTTTCTGGACTTACATGATACATCTTCTCATCTCTGTACACACATGCATTAATGGGGTAGTGGTAACCTGGGTCGTTGCCATCAACTTGCATGAGCTCGACCCGCCGGGGGTTCGATTCCCTCTTAATGCATGCCCGAAGGAAATCTTGGTTTTGGATAACTGTCTTTTGTGTTTTGTGGAAGAACCTCAGGCCTTCTGAATGTCTAAATAAATAAAGGTGCTGGTCCCATTTTTGAAAGCGTGTCTACCTGAAGGCTGAAGGACTTCTCCATTCCCCAATGGACCACACGGGCCACTCAGCCACCGCCATTAGACACGGAGAAAACGAAAAGACGGTCTTCATTTCGGTTTACTTGAGGGATCAAATCGAATTTGGACCTGTCGACGATGATATGCAGACCAAAATCCGGAACAATAAATGAGCTTGAGTACCCTGATCTCTTGCTACCGTAGGTCCTTAGAAGTGTAAAGTCACGGACAATCAGAATAACCAATGTGGTTCGTTTACTTTCCGCTATTGTTTTCCGGGCCTAAGACAAGACCGGTCAACAAGGGCTTGTCTTCTCCTTTGAGTAACTTTCTATGGCTACTGAGTACCAACTGGAGCCAGCATGATAAATCAATAGATTCATGTGTCTATACGTTCCATCAGACGATCCACGGAGGAGGCAGGACGAACTTGAGACCAGCCAATCACATATATGATATACGTTGCTCGAATAGAGTGTCTTCAGCTGAAGAAAACTTCTCATAAGTACTGCGGGGCGAACTTGGTAAGTGAGTACTAGTGAGTACCCATCTTGTTTAAACGCTGATACTTAGGATCAGATTGGAGTCGTGTTTATTATGATGATACTGTAGATCAACATGAAGGAGATGCTGTTCTGCAGGTACACATTTTTCCAGCCTCCAGAAAAGGTGTTCGGTTTTGGGAGGAGGTGTAAATAACATCTTTTAAGCGCCTACCCACTTTTAGGTTCAGGACCTTGAGGTCTACTTTGAGAAAATCAGACCCTGCTCTTATTGTGAGAAGACTGACCTATTCTGATTTGAACTATAGGACCGCCGATGAAGGGTTGTGAAAACAAATTCGGCGGATACCGTCCAAACCCTCACCAGCTGTGCTAGATTTCGTATTCGAATAAACTAGGCCGAAGATTTCAAGTTGGATCATCTAGGTGTGGGATATGGAACACTGAAGATTGTTTGTTGTTGGTTTCCTGGTGTCTGGTGCACGGATTCTTTAAGGGTTTCAACGAATTCGACGAGATCTTCACCCTGTTCTATTCACAAGTGTCCCAACGAGGCTAGCGTCTAGCGGCCAACAAGTAAACATACTTAAGAATGCATGAGCGCTAAGTGACAAAGAAAATGCATGAGCGCTAAGTGACACTCTGGACAGTTAGACGCTCGAACAGGCGTTAGTAGTCTCGGTTGGTGCGCGCTAGACATTGTAACGCCCAGAATTGCATACGCATTTTTCTCCTATCACATCTCGGAGTTGCAAAAGTAACATGTATTCAGTGGAATGTGAGAACAGCGGGAAGAATAGATTTCGTACTATAGATTATAGATATACGACAAACCTAGATAGATACACGGAGATTTTTTGTAGTTGGATACAATGCGATGTCTATGCGAAAAAAGTCCTGTTGGAGGATCCGATACTAAGAATAAAAAACCATCGAATGAGCGTGAAAAAGAAAAAAGATCGATTGTAGTTGGATACAAATTATGGGTGGTCACTCCGCACGGTCCTGTCCTGTTGGAGGAACCTAGAAAAACAAGAAGGGTATGGTTAGTTAGTAGCTAACGCTCTAATGAGTAGTCGCTGCTTCAGCAGCCTTCAAAGCATGTCTGAAAGACGCCAATAAGGTTGTAATATCTTCTGTCCCCACACTGACCCTGACAAGATCTGCTTCCACGCCGTATTGAGCCGCCCAGTCTAACTCGGTGAAATGAGCCAAAATGGCATACGGACTGGCCAGCGTAAAATTGGTCCCGAGGCTGGGTCCCTTGTAACATGACAGTGCATCATAGAAAGCGTGCGAGGCCGCGGGCGAAGTAAAAGTGACGGAGAAGAGGCCACCAAAACCCCCGTTTTCACCAGGAGACGCCTTGTCTTTGATTCTGCAACGCTCGTAATGATTGGGCGTGACATATTTTGGATAGTAGACATCTTTCACAACGCCACTTGGAGAACCGCCGGTAGGGGACTGGGAACGTAAAAATTCACAGACAGCTTCGGCATTGGCGTCTATGACTTTGACTCGTCTTTGGAAATCACGAGAGTTACGTTCCAAGAATATAGCATCTTGATCAAATAAGTTGTCTTCGTAATTGTTGTCAAGGTGGGTTTTCAATTTGGAGTAATGCTTGCCCTGGGGATTGAGGACCAGACTAGGGCATCTATTTCAGACAAGAGCCAGAACAAAAATAGATTCACTGACCTTCCGCCCATGACGTTGGAAGCACCGCTGAAAACCTTGGTTAAGCTGCTGACGACAACGTCCGCCAATGGGAGCACATCGACATTTGTAAAGTTCCCAATGGTTTCGTCTACGACCAACAAGAAACCATGTTCATCTGCCAGTTTTCTAAGTCGAGGCAAATCCGCAGAACGCAGAAGGGGGTTGGAAGGAAACTCGGTAAACAGAGCCAGCAATGGAGTTTTGGAGGGGTTGTTAGCAATTTCTTCCTTGATAATTTTCTCTAGCTCGTCGATGTCACTATCAAGTCCATGTCCAAGGAAATGACAACCAGGACCCCATTTTTGGAGGATCTTCAAAGTGTCAGTGTATGGAAACCTACGAGGAATTTGTTAATACAGGCAAATCAGAAATGAATTAAATGAACACATACCCAAAGCAGACACTCTTTGCCTGCGGCAAGACCGACATGGCAAGTTGATGAGCATTAAAGATAGCATTCATTCCACATGGATAAAGATAGACATCATGCTCGGAAACGCCATCCACACCTCGCCGACTCGGGCCGATTTTGGCATCTTGGTCTCCAGCAGATAAATCATCGAAAGAGCCCTCTCGGACAAGTACGCCAGCAATTCTGCGACGCAAAGCTCTTTTCGCAAACGATGCAGATGTCTGAGGTAAATTTCGACCGTATCGTTCTTCAAGATAAAAGCTCTGGTCGGTACTCAAATTTTCGACAGGTTCCGTCGGCGCCAAAGGAGGGCTATGAATAGGAGAGGCAAATTTTTCTTTCGTGGAATAATGCCTGTTGGAGACTTTGCCAACGTAGCGATGAGTGAGGGCAGGTGAAGAAGGAGGCGAGTTTTCTGGGAGAAGGGAAAGGCAGTGTTCTGCCAAACGACTGGAAATACCTCCACCACTATGTTGCCAAAATTGTTTTGCATACGAGAAGGCATCAGAAGGGAAGAGAGCGATATGAAGGTCGACAAGAGGAGTTGATGCGTTACATCCACAATCGTCCGAGTTGACGAGAACGCCTTGGTTAGCCTTATCCTCAGGACAGATCAAGAGCTGAATCAAACGAGCGATAACCGGTTTTCCATCTTGCGAAGATCGATGGTGTATAAAAGAGCGACATTGTTCGGCGACAAGTTTCGTGGGGAAGAGCATGGAACTTTCGCCTTGAGTGCCGAACTTTTGTTCGCATATTTGTGCCAACTATCCTGTCGAAGTCAGAGAGGGTAACAAAAACAATTAGTGCTTTCATGACGAACCTTTGTGATTTTTGGGTTAATGAAGAACCTAGGATAACCACAAACCATAGCATCTATGACTCTTTTATCTCCCTCCTCGTAGCCTACATTGTCGCGCCAGGTAGGTAAAGATACAGAGACGGCATGGGGAGTGAAAGGTGGTACTGGTGAACCCAAAGGAACCTCTGCACCGTTCGCAGAAGTGGTCATCTTTCCTTTAGTGATTACGGAAGGGTCGGAAATTTTCATTTCCTTTTCGGTCACGAGAGCAGAACTCACAAATCCGATGGAAGCGAGCATGGTACAATGAAAACACAAAATGTCGCAATACTACTTATATACCAGTAGGCAATAAATAGATGAAAATGGCCAGCTTTGGATTATATGCAGGTCATAGTGACCAGAGTAAGGATGCGCTGAAACCAGTGATAAATCCGACCGCGGATACACAAAGATGTACAACGACCAGCCAGTAGAGGTAACATTAATAGGATTTGCGTTAAAAAAAAGGTTTCAGGGCAAGTCCTGAGAGTCGGATGTACGGTAAATCTGCATAGAATACAGTCATGTAAAAAAACTGAATTGCACCTTCCATCAAAATGTCAAAGACGTTGACTCTCCGGATACATAAATCAGAGTAGAGCAATGAAGTATTCTCGATCGACGAAGAACAGTCTCGACTAAGGTTCGCTGTGAGCTCATAATGCGCCGCTTCGAATCACCAAGTCTATGCGGACCGTACAAGGAATCGTCTCTTGAGATTTCAAGTTCAGTATCGTCGATGATCATTACAAGTTATAGCGCCATATGTATATAAACTTACACGTGTACATAGAAATCATTCTGAAGTCCACCCATAGGCCTACATAAGGATATTTCTGAAGAACGACGACAACAGTAAGACTCAGTTCTTCCCGAGTTCTGCTGCGCCGGGATGCGTTGATTCCGTGTTTGACGACAAATCAGCATTAGGGGGACGAGACCCGGGATTCTTCACACTGGAAGCACGTCGAATACGCCCTGTTCTACTGTTCGATCTCGAAAGATTCTGTTCACGATCAGATGATCTCGTAGACGAAACTGAGGACGCTCGTCGATGACGTTTCATCCGTGTAGGGTCTACATCTTGCACATTAGCGAGCCGGGCAAAAAGGGAGAGAACTAGAAAAGAAAAATTCAGTCAGAAATCGAAGCGGAGGTATTGAAAGACTCACTATCGACGACAGATACGATTCCAGAGAGGTTTGGGGAGAACCCAGGTGACATGATAGGGGAAGCACCCATTGAAGTTTCCGACACGAACACTCTGTGAGCGTTGGCTAACGCAGAATTAAACTAGAGATGATGGAATATTATTCAGAAGAATCTTACTGGCTAATATCTTCTGCATAGTATACAGAAGTGTGCTGCTGGGTAAGACAGAGTACACTGTAACATTAGGTTAA